AAAAGCTGGTAAAGATATGAAATCATGATAAACAACATATTTTATTGTTTTCTATACAAAATAATGTCATTGTTTTTGTTACACACCGCATGTTATTTGACAAATACTGCGCCGCGCCACCAATTTTTCAAATCCCAAAATAGAGATGATACTCTTTGGTTATAAAATCACATGTCTCAATCAGTTATTTGTTCAGAGCATCCAATCAATATTGCTAGAAATAAAAAAATATTTTGTGAAGCTAAAGGTGGTAGGGAGAAATTCAGTATGGTATAACTCTCAAAGATGGTATGGTATGGTATGGTATGGCCCATATTTTTCCATACCAAGTCACACAAAATTTTATTCTAAATCCTTTTTTTAGGGGTGTGAAGGGAAGCATGTTAGATTTAAGCATTGGTATACCAACATTTTATTACATACTATACCATATGTTATAAGGTTGCTTGTCGAAACCTCTTAATGACTGTCAAAACTCTGATGATTGACAAAATCCCAATGTGAAACTCTGCTGAGACTCTAATAAACAATTAATGTGTAACCTGCCAAAACTCTGTTGATTGATTTCTGGAGGAGTTTCGCCCATAACCTTAGTTCTGCAAAAAGTTATATCATACTGAAATATCCCTATAATCAGCTAAAGGTGATGTATATACATAGATTGTTTCACATATATATAATGGAAAGCTAGTGTGGCAAGTGTGAAGCAAATTTATTTGATTTTTGAATTAAATAAGTTTACTAGCTAATTAAAAATTATTATTAGATACTTGTTTTAATCTGAACTTTATGGTGCAACAAATTCTTAACCTGACTTTGAAGCCTTTCAACTCAGCATAGAGTCATTTTTTGGAAAGTCCACCAATAAATTTGTTTAATGGGGTAAGCTCTACAAAGTACTGGCTGGTTTTCTTTTCATTTAAAACACTGTCCTGCCCCTTCAGGGTGCTTTTAATCTTTTAAATTTTCTGAGTTTGGTGGTTTGGGCCACAGCTGTTGTTAATGCTCCTAGAATACATACCTGTTGGTGGTTGTTGTTGTTGTATATGTTAAGAATACCGGCTGCAACTTTTGATGATGGTTGCTACCATCTTTACAACCATTTTGTTTCCTTTTTTGGATTGCGACATGGAACACTAGTATATGTTGTTGTGGTGTAAATAATTTTGAACTGGTGGTGGGTTCTGATTTTGTGGCTCTTGTTGCTCATGGTATTCATGATTTAATAAGGTTCTTCCAGCCTGTTTTGTTGTTGATTATTATTTACCTTCATTGATAATTTCTTCCTGCTTATTGTTGTGGTTGTTGTTGTCTTTGATTGCTTCTTTTCAACATTGTTTCAGAGCCAGAAATCAACATTTCTTGAAGAGATGGTAAAGACTACCCTGATTACTTCTAGAAAGTAGATGATAGGGTTTACTACGTTGAATTTTTGACATATCAAAAAGATGCCTCATAGTTGGTCTTCCATGTGGACAATTCTTGTTATTATTATAGTAATAATAAAAATTACATAAGATTTTAATTCTAATTTGTTGAATTTAAATAAATAATTTTGTAATTACCCAAGGTTGTTCAATTTCTCCCATATGTTTCACGATCTATTTATTTATTTAATAAGTGATTAATATTAATAAATAAATTATTTTAGAAATAATAATTATCCACCCCAAATCAGTACTGAATTAAATTCCAAACCTTTGTCATTTGTTGTTTGTTGAGAGCATCACCTACCATGACAGATTTATGACAGGCTTTGGATGCAAACATTTTTTTTGCTTTAGAACATCTAACTAATGTTCTTGGATTTTCAGACAGCATATGAATCAATTCTTCTAAATCTATTCAAAAACAAAACAGCAATATTATTATTATAAATAATTGATTAGCATTATTATTCCATAATATTAATAGTAAATATTGTT